ACCCGACCTCGTTTCCGTCCGCTGTATATCTTTCCTACCTTACTATATATATATATATATATATCCCGGATCGACCGGGATTTACAGAAGCCGAGTCATAAAAATTGCATACTTGCCCCCGTTTGTCCCACTTTCTCTTAAGCAACGATACGCGCTCTCTCAATCCGCTTAACCGATACCAAATTTACGTGTTCGACAATTTTAATGCCTGTCTGAAATAATCTCTGGCAACTCTATTAATTCCAACGAAGATTTAAATTCTCGATAAAAAATTGATTCTGTTTCAAGAAAGATCATCTTAATAAAATTCTCCTTCTGACATATTTCAGCTTTACGTTATGATTATATAACTATTATGGTATTTTAGGAAACTATAGCACATCTCGTTGTCATTTATCATCATAAAAGGATGTAAAAATTTGATCAGATAAAATAATTTTGTTGGCACATCAAAATTATCAAAATATGATGACAAAAATGATTTGATATTCTAGCAGACAATTGGAACATTTTGCGTAAATATTTTAATTTGGCCCGACAAAATTATTTCCCGATCTGTATAAAAACTTTAATAGAATGTACTTGGGCGAAAGTGACGAAGTTAACGTTTCCGTTATTCGCGATGGCGTAATCGTAAGGGCGGCAGAATTTCGCGAACGTTTGCCAAGATCATATCTGACATTTTCGCCCTGCGCTTTACCTCCCCTACCGCCGTTTGGCAGCAAACCTACGTTTCACGGCGCTTCCGCATGCCGCTTCCTCCGTTCGCCACTTCCGCGAGAACACCCGGTACCCGCGGTATACGTGATGTCCATAATTTACGCAAAGTCTCGCTGCTCATTAATTGTCGCGTAAATAATGTCCTGCCGCACGACATGCATACATTCGCTCGTGCTCGCATGGCGTGCACCCCCGCGTTCTCCCTTTCGTTTCCCTCAAGTCAAGTGGTTGTACAAGCGGTTTTTTTTTCTTCCGAGCGAAAATCGCTGCCCTCGTCTTTGCCCTCCCGCGCGAGAAAAAGCGACGAATGTGCAACGCATCGAGATATCGCACGTAATATCTCAGGAAGAAACTTTATCCTCGGTTCGTTTTAAGTCCGCTTTTGCCGCAAACTTTTTATTCGTCTGAAATCGTCTTCCTCGAAATTGCATGTCTTTCTCCTTTTTCTCTCCATTCGTGCATTGTTCTTATTATTATTATCGCCCAATACCTTCAGCGTTCAAGTATAATTCGGTTAATATTCTTTTTCCTCTTTATCACATTGTTCTACTTTCAGTAAGAAATATAAAATATTTAGTTATAAAAATTTTTACTCCGCTCAAGATTCTCTTTTTCTTTTACCCTTTCTTCCTCGCTTAATAATGGGATTATTATTATCTGACTAACACCGCACTCTCTTCTTACAATCCAATTTACAGCTGCAGCGGTACGTACAAAGCGGCCGGTGTCGCTGAAACGAAGAACATTTCCCGCGGAAAAGAGAGGGAAAAAAACGCGCACCCTCGCATCTATTTGGCGACTGGGTGTCGCGCACTTTTTTTTACGAAACTTTTCCGTTCACCTTCTTCGTGTTCTCGTTTTCTCGGTGCCGCTCGCCGATTCATCGGCAAGAAATAAGCACGAGAAGTGGAACGAAAAAGTCGGGCTGACCGACCTGCGGAGAGAGGAGCTCTTTATTTTATTAAAAAATTCTATTTTTATTCCCATCGCGAGTCGATCCGCCGCCATCGCCGTCGTACCGGCGGTTAATACCGGAAGTGGGGTTTAATGGAATTACAGCGTGTTTTATATGCACGCCAGCATTTTCGCGCGAGAAATTCGCGGAACGAACGAAAAGCGCACACAAAAGGGGAACCGCGGGCAGGGGGAGGGAGACGCCGGAGACGGGGGCGGAATTTCACGCGCCACCGCGTAACGTGTTTGCGTAATATTTGCATGATATATTTTCGATACCGCCGGCTCGTCGCGAGATTCTATAAGTTTTATGCAAAGCGGGCACTATTGTCCGCCGCGGCTGCGCCCGATAAATAAATCGGCGCTGTCTACGAAAAAAATTCTGCCTTGTAGAGACATGACGAGTGGTGGAATGGCGCGCGTCTATTTTCATGGGTCCACGTCATGTGCCAACGACGCGCTGACCCGATACACCCGAAATATCACGTATATGAAAAATCGCATTACGCACGCACGCGAGTGTCGTCGAGCGGAGAGACAGGGCGAAATTACAGATCTCTTTGCCGAGCGACAACCGTTTCGCAAGATGCGATTACATCTTCGCTTCGAGTAGCTACGTACACGTAAATCAGCAGGCACCCAATGTTTACGGTGCGGTAAACTTACGAGAGTAAACGAACGTGCTTGTTGCAAGACGAAACTACCTATTTTCTCCATTGTTGAATTTCTTACGTAAACAGTGCCTAAATATATGTACACACTGAATAATTTCTAAAATTAGTGTAGCCGAGAGAGAAAGAATCTTTGTCCTTCCATTGTTCTGTAATTTATTCTCTTTTATTATTGTATTATTTCCTGCATGCGGTCAAATGGCATTTATATATACAGAACTTCGATAAAGTCATTTTACAAAGTTGATATTATAAAAGAGATATTTTATACATATGTATTTATCTCTACTTTTAGCATTTTATCTCTCATGTTACATTTCCGTTTATATTAAACTTACGTTCTCTCTATTTTCTCGTATGTACGTATAACGATGAACTCTACTGCATCATTCATTCGCGAAACCAAAAAAGGATCACAATTTCCGACAGCAAAATAACATATAGTAAAAGTCGCGTTTGAATCTTAAAAAAAACAACATCGTTGTTCCATCAAATTCTATTTTTTTTCATTTTAGAGTCTATATTGCTTATGTAATAATATCTCTACAGAAATTTCTCACACACACACACACACACACACACACACACACACACACACATTTTAATTAATTTTATTTTGTTCTCATAATTATAGTCAGGAATTTTCTCTCATAATTTTGAAAATCAAGAGAGAATTTGTGGCTTCTAAATCTAGCGCATGTGAATGTAATCAAGATCTTTTAAACGAGATTGAATGGACAGAAACTGCTTTGACACTCGAATTTTTCATCACGATGAAACGAACATTTTATTCCAAATAGCGTATATAATATAAAAGCTAGATTTTACCACCAAATATAAAATATTTTATACAATTTTAATTAAGAACAGCGCGTTTTTAATTAAAAATAAAAAAAGTGCAAAGTTTGCATAATTTACGAAGTCCACGGTTATACCCTAAACATCATCCCCCCCCCCCCGCCCCCGTGTAATATAATTCAGATACCGAGATTTAACGTCGCGCAAACGGCTTTCGTTTCACGAAGCGGCTCGCATTTACGCGAATTTGGAAATTTCCTCGATTTTAGGCACGCAGCAACGGCCTCGGCAATCAAGCCGAGTTTTACGTGCCCGCCTCGTTATCCCTCCGAAGGCGAGTCGTTATCAGGGGTCCGTCATCCGATTGCTCGTTTCCGCTTTTATCGCGTTACATCGGCGCGTGCTTTCGTCGAATCGGGGTTAAATCCGACGTGGATATGCGCGCCCGCGCTGGGACGAGCCGAGTGACCGCATCCGGCATTCCCCGCTCGCGGGTCATCCCCGGCAACGCGATATCGGCCGGAGTCACCCCCCCCCTCCCTCCCCCGTTGGGAGTTGCGGCCGGCCAGGGGCGAGAGCGAAGGGCGAGTAATTCGCCACCTTCCGTTTCATTACGGCTGCTTTGCCGGAGACAGCCGCGTGGCACGCAATCGCGCGATCAATTCCACGGTTGGTATTCGCGTCCATCAGACTCACGGATGCTGGGGGATGGGAGGGGGGGGGATGAAATCGCGCCTCATTACGCGTGTACGTAGATCACGCGTCGTTAATGCGCGTAAGAATGATGTCGGTGAACCGGGGGGGATGCGTTGTTCTGAGAACTTTACTACGTAAAAACGGAAAAAAGAAACGGAATAATTACGAAATTATTTTATACGGGTGTATTTCCGTTTCTGCATCGTTAAATATCCCCGCACATTACATCTGCTCAATTTGCGTTCATGTTTATTGACATCGGAACATACATTGTTTTATCCGTTTGTTTAGATGATAATGAATAATCATCATTCCTCCGCTACATTGTGTATTGAGATCTTGATAACGATCGAGCCGCAATCAACTATATATACGGAGGGCATTAAGTTACCAATTAATTGCAAATGGATTTCAATCGAAGTGCCTTATAATTGATGCGCGCGGAAACGAATATCGGGGCAAAACTCGTAAAAGTTTCCCCGTGATCTCGCCTCTCCGTCAATCGGGCGAGCGTTATTATGGGCATTATGAAATGGGGAAATTTTGCAGAATTCGTGCAGGCGCATATTTCCAAGTTCGTAAAAACTGATTTGATTTTAAAACATCTTTATGCGCATAATCTCGGAAAAAAGTGCCCCCATAAATCACGCGCCCGGCATCAAACTTCGCTCTCGTCCCGCCTTATTCATCCCCCCGACGGGAACAAAATCGAAGCGTGCGCGCCCGCATCTCTCTCGAAAGAAAATTGCAATCTCGGGTTTTATAAGACGAGGAGAGTGCACCGATAGTTCACGGCCGTTCTCGATGGGGCCAATCTTCTTGTTACATAATTCCCGCCAATTACGCAGAGAAGAGACCTCGCGGTTATCCCTTCAGAGACATAAAATCCATTTTCCAACCGTGTTACGTATTCTTCGTTTATCACGAAGACTTGGTTCCAAACGTATTATAATAACGATAAATTTGTAATATAATTTGATATAATTATTTTAAAAAAAGATACGTCGATTCTGTAAACAATTACTTAAATTATGCAATTATTAATGTGACGTGACAGCATTTATTAATTTAATTGTTATTCATCAATTAGTGTTATTATTTTTGTCAATGAAAGAACTTTACGATCGATCGCTGCCACAAAATTTATAAATTTTTTTTAGTAGTGGAAACCTTAATGTGAATATCGCTCTTTTTCTCATTTTAACACATGAGTAATTCGCAATGGCGGGAAAATTCTCTGTTCGAAGAATTCAAAGAATTTCACGAAGAAATTTACGTTCGTGAGAAGAATGAGTTCGTGGCACCTTTGAGGCCCTAAAAACTTAGTGGCAATCAATCAACCACGCCCAGCGATATTAGTGCAAAGTAAGAACGAGGGTTTTAATCACAGCTGCGGGTTAGCTGTTGGCAATTACCTTGTGTAATTTGATATTAATTTAAATTGATATTAATCGAACAAATTCCTATTACGCTCTTCACGTGCGCATCATATAAATCATATAGTTTTGTTTATAAGGTAAATGACGATTACCGAGATAATAACATTTTGGCGCAACGAAGAAAATTGTTTGACTATGTTGTATAATTTTTATTACAGTTAAACGATGTAACTTCGTTCTTAACTAGCAAACTATTAACGGTGACACGGTATTTTCAGTTTAATTCAAATAACCATCAGCCCTATGTTCCGTTACCGTGTTACGCCAGGTAATTGCGAACACCGCTAAATATCCCATTAATTATCTTCGTCGGTCGTGCGACAAATGTGGTGGGGTTTATCAGCGAGAGTTCCCGCACGGATAATAGATTAAAAATACCGCTTTAATCGCGAAATAAAATGTTCCGCATGATTGTTCTTTTTTCTTTCTTTTTTTTTTTTTCATCTTTTTTTATTATTTGAAGAAACACCAGATGTAAAGAGACATTTGTTTTTTTCTCGTTGCAGTGTGTGTACAGTGGCCAGAGGGTAGGTGCTTCCACGACGTCCCCGAACCGGCACTGCTGAATCTCTACTTCGAGATCCGTGAGAACTGTCACGGATTCTCCTGAAGGCAACGACCAATCAGACAACGACAATGATGACAATGACGGCCCCCGCGCTCCTCGTCTTGTTGCGAGCGCGCGGATCATCAGTATTCACCTTAGTATTCGCGCGAGAGAAACATTCTCGAGATAACGTATTTATTTATTTAAAAGTCTTTCCACAGCCGCCACACACCACGACCAAGCCAAAACGAAATAGCCACGTATTAGCTATGCTAGAAAAGGGACGACAGTTCCTTGGTTTTTTTATCTTTCTTTTTTTTTTTTTCGTTTATGTCGATACATTCCGACCGGAGGAACAGTTCCTATTTCGCGATTTCAATAAAGACGCACCGAATGGACAGAGTCGACGGAATGATGAATTCTTCCCAACATCGCGAAGATGTTGATCTTTGATAATGAGATTTAATATCTAATTATATATACAAATTATATATACAAAAAGCTCTAGTGAAGTTTGTCTTTACAGATTACTGAATAATGCAAATTATTTTTTTAATAAATTTAAATTCCAGTTAAGTTTCTTGGGTGAGCAATAAGAAATATTTATAAAATATTAATTAATTGCTTATGATTATTAATTAAGTGAAGAGATTTTCGTGTAGCGATCACTTTTCGGGCTTTGGAAGTTTCACTCGGTTTCTCTCGTTGTCTCTGTTTATTCGAACCGCGTTTCCACGTGAGAGCGACACGAGGCAACTCGTGATGTTCTCGTATATCGTTTCCGGTGATCGTGATGGATCTTGTGTGACACAGGTCCAACACCTGGTCCTAAATGGGCGCTCGGCAGAATTCTCGCTGAGTGCGCGAAAACGGGATCTCTCGCGTTTCTTTCTTTATAGGGTTGTCGATGATCCCAGCAGAAGCAAGGTGGGTGGTCCAGAATATTTATTTACCTACAACTAATTGCTCGTCGTTCAGCCAGTTCGGGATTAAAGACTGTTATGTCTCTCCTGTTATATATACGTACATATACATCTTTTTTTTTTATTATTATTATTATTATATACTTGTCTTTTCTCTATCCGTGTTCAGCAGGAGAGATACACCAAAGCTCAGCCCCTCCTAAATTTCACACAACCGATTTTTCTTTTATTGTTTCCCTCGAGCCAAGGCGAAGTTCCCCCCCTCTTATCATCGCCCGTTTCTATCTCGTGGTGAGAAAGTTACAAAAAGTATAATAACAGCTTTTATGCTCGTGCGGAAGGAAATGCATTGCACAAAACAGAATCGAGATAAAAGTAACTTACGATAATGGAAGAGTTGCGTAAGAAATATAATGATTAAATGGCGAAGTGTTAGATAAAAGTAACACCATTTAATATTTTGAGATGATTATTTGCAGCAATGTTATTGTTAGAAACTAAGTGTTATTAATAATGCGTATTGAACCGCATTTCTTCTGGCACTGTTTTGTGACGCGCATTGTCTTTTGCATAGAACTTTCAAGAGTTTAGAGCGGAAGTAATTAATAGTCACGAAGTCAATCATGCAAGTTGCGACTTTCCTATGAATTTTAGATTAACGAGGCGATTGATTTAAGAATCTCTAGTTCCGATTTCGGAAACGAATCTGGAGCGAGACGTCGCATTATTTCAAAGTTTCTCAATGCAACGAGATTATAATCGCAAAGTCGCTAGCTTCTGATGCTTTTACCATCGCATCGTTCTATCTTCTGTCACACCGAATTTCGATACAATTTTACAGGAGCGGAAGTCAAAAATACGATTTTATTTATTCAAAGTGATTCTGTTTCGTGCGTTTCCTTTTGCCAGAAAAAAATGTTTTCGAATAGGAAAAATCTGTCGAAATATTATTTTTGTAAAATAGGGATTTAATATCAGCCATCCTTGATTATATATTTATTGATTCAAACGGAAATTCCATTATCTAAATGTACAACTGTTTTAGTTTACAATAGAACGATAAAACGATAGAACGTAATTCATTGTAAAAGTATTTTTTTTTTTTTTTCATTTGTTTATGAGATTTATTGACGGTATTTTGCTTAGAATTTGATATAAATATATACGTATATGCAAATGTTTGATAAAGTCAAGTGAATTATTGGATAATTTTGAAATAGTTATAGATTTAGATTTAATGAAACGAGTACAGGGTATTAGAGTATTAAGAATAATTATAAATTTTTTATATACGAATTTTTTTATCAAGACTGAAGAGGCTTTCTTATTTTGTTGCTCATTCATTATTAGCTTCTCGAAATTCAATTTGCAAAATGGACAATTTTAATGTCGTTTATCAAAAGCAACATGAGAATAACAATTCTAGAACATAAGTAAGTTTACTGTGCCAAAAAAGAAACACACAGGGTATTGATTTTGATGATTAAGTAATCTTTATTTTAGATACTTCGTGTAATTAGTATACGTAGATTATATTTATATATTTTTACATAGGGCAGAAGAGATACGGCTGCATTTTTAAATGCCGCTTAGACTAAGAATTACGTAGCATCAAGTTTACGTGGAGCTCTGCAAGTGGTTCTAACGCATATTTACACACATCTTGGTCGCGTTCGTTTCGCCGTCTCTATTTTTTTATGTAATGTAATTTTTTTGTTCTATTTGCGAATGATCGCTTTCCGTCGAGTTTAGCGTTAAAACGTACTTGCAGGATCCGTTAGAAACGTAGAACAGTATTACGCAACCGCATGACTGTACTCTATTACAGGGTTAAACCGACATTCCAAAGATCGTGACATCGATTACTCGCCAGACGAGTAAAGTGGGGTAATTCGTTATAAAATAACGGTAGATGAACTACGCGATCGTGATTTATTCCGCCTTTTCTGATCCATCGATCAACCGTGTGCCATAATACCCCATTTTACAGATGTAGAAAGTAGGCTTATTCAAACAAAAATTTTGATAGATTAAGACACACGACGTTAGTTGCATAGCAATTAGACTGTATAGTTAATCGTCAAATGAGTGTTTGTGTGTGGACGATTAAATGTTTTATGAAATACCAGTGAGACGCATGGAGATAATTGTAGAAACAGAAGATCAGAATTCAAAAGTTAGACGAGAAAAATGCCATAGAAAATAGATGGATAAATTGAGCGATACATGTGAAACAAGAACGACAACGTGATAAATGTAAAGAGAAGGTCATTATTTTCCACGAGGCCAGCAATAAATTTTATATACGAACATTAATATTTTTCTATTGCTGAAATTGACAGTATTCAGTTTTGCGCCAAAGTTCGATAAGACTAGTGCAGAAAAGTGAAAATTTGTTTAAAGATCGAAATATTGATTTTCGAAAAATCCTGACATATACGGATATAAATAAAATATGACAGTTATATGTGCTTACCAATTATAGCATATTTTTTTGAAGATATTTTCTTTTGTGCAATCAGAATTAATTGTGCCAAATAGAGTTGATGTTAATGTCGCGAAGACAAGCTGTATTATCGAGGCTTGGAGCGAAACGAACAACAAACGAGGTAAATCGATACAAAAAGTGCTTGTTCTTGTCGCTGGTCGCCGGAACAAATCTGCGCGGCACACAAGCGAACCGATTTGTCACATCTCAGTCAATAAAGGGAAATTTTTACTTTCTGTACACATCGTCGACGAGTTAATCGAAAACCGATTCTTACAATTGCACGCTCATGCATGTATCTATTATTTATCGAAGAAAAACAGGGAATTGGTCGATACGAGTCATGTAAAATTTTCATACAGTTACGTAAAATGTTGACTTTTTGTTATGTATGCTGTCATATATGCTGTTATATATGCTGTCGATTATTATTAGTATTATAAGAAAAATTAGTTTATCGAAGAATAATTAATAGTTTATCAAGTTTATCGAATGGTTTTTGATTCGGGAAATGACAAAATTAATAATGAATTTATATATTAAAAAAAAAAAGAGAAGATAAACGCGACGCGCGCGAAGCCGCGAATCGCTGTGGCTCTATATACTATCTTATTCCTTACCTTCTTATTTGACTATGCTACCGTCGCTATTCTACTTTCGTACTATTTCTCGGTCTTCTCGCGATTAAAATAGATAAACGACGCGCGCGCGCGCGCGCGCGCGAAGCAAACGCGATTTTATCGCTGTGGCTCTATATCTATCTTATTCCTTAGTTTTCTCTTCTTATTTGACTATGCAATCGCTCCGTCGATCTATTCATTTCGTACATTTCTCGGTCTTCTCGCGGAAGAATTTCACCTCTGAATTTCCGCCGTAAGTAGTCGAGATATTTTCGACGCGCTCTATTCTCAGTCTCTATTCATCGAATCGTCGTCGTTCGGTATCCTCTGCGAATCTGCTCTTAGAGAATATTTGAGTCACATACCTTACCTCTTTGAACACGGGTGCGATCCACACCCGTGTCATGTAAGGAAGAGAATTTTTTTGTTCTCTCCTTTTCGTCGAAATTTCTTGTCGAAATTTGCTCGCGCGAATTACGCTCGGGCGCACAAGCGTGGACGAATGCGTTCAGCGATGGGATAACGAAAAGAAGACGCGGGAAAGAGCGAGAGTCTTTCGCAGTCCGAGGAAAGATCTAGAATCCGAAGTGCTTCCTCGCCTCCTGGACCGCTCGCTTCTCTGTCTTTTCATCTGTCCCAACCTCTCGCACTTCTCGCGACGATATTACTACTCTGCTTCGCAGTTTCCAACGCATTCCGCGTCCCCTAACAATTTTCATTCCATTTCATACCGCTTTCCTACGTTCTTCTCTACTACACTTCTCTCTTCTTCCCTTTCCGTTGCCTCGGTCCGTTCTTTTCTCCAATTTTATCTTCGTGTCAGAATTCTTCCACTTCAGTTTCGCGCTGTCGCGGTTGCGTTGGGAACGTGCGAGAAAAATTGCTGCCGGGAAAGAAAAAGATTTGTCTCTCTCGATGTGTAAGATTTTATTGCCTTTGCGACGCGTCG